AGCAACAGCTCAACACACGTTTCTATAGCATAGCGTAGCATAGCGTAGCATAGCGTAGCATGCAGTCCATTCTTTTTAAGAGCGTGATTAAATCACAGCAGCAGCTGATTGGTTGCACAGCCAGTGAGGAAGGAGCATCTTCATCATCCTCTCTTTTCAAAATGAAACGGAGGGTCTTCAAGCCAAAGCGGAGAGTCTGGCGGTCCGTCCACCGGGGCAGCCATGTTTGCTTACTTCTGGATGACATCATCCACAACACAGCATGTCATTGGTTGGCATGTCTGTCCAGGTGTCTGTCCAGGTGTCTGTCCAGATGTCTGTCCAGGTGTCTGTCCAGATGTCTGTCCAGATGTCTGTCCAGATGTCTGTCCAGATGTCTGTCCAGATGTCTGTGAGACTAACTGAGGGAACAGAGAGGCGTTTTGTTTTTATTGCTTTTAGATTTTCTTTTAATATTTATTGTGTTAATTGATCAAATGAAGAAGAATCAACGTCTGAATCCAGCTGCAGCGTATTGAAAGCTAAGGAGGTGAATGCTTTAGCAGGGCGCCGTGTTTGTTGGCCTGATCCTAAACAGGGTGAATTAGTTTGGGCCTCAGAAGGAGGGTAGACCTGATGGACTGCGGTTGGGTTTTCAGACGCCTGGTTTAAATCCGGCCTTTGAGGCAGACTGAAGGAAAGTCCAGCAGATCCAGACCTGCTGTTCTTTCTCTGCGTGGAGTCGCCTCTAATGTTTGGCTGTTTCTATCCGTTTGACCCCCAGAGGAGCCTGAGGGAGCCGCTGAGGGACCAACTGCTCTGACTTTACCTTCTGAGGCTCTGGTCAACCTGCAGAAAGTCCAAACCCTGAAGACGTTGGAGTTCAGGTCAGTCTGCAGGTTCCTCAGAAAACGCTTTAGTTTGAAAGCTTCAGCGATGCTGATGCCGGGATAGATCAATAGATCACTGGTTACTGAGAAACTCTGAGAAACTCTGAGAAACTCAGGAAGATTTTCTCCAAACACAGAATTCCACAGCATTTCAAACCAGACAGACCCTGGGGGGGTTCAGCTTCCAGACCTTTATAATTCAGTCACATAATTCCTCCCATTATGATTCAACAGACCAATCACAGAGCCCAGCCACGACAAAAGGCTCCAACCATCAGGAAGAACACGGTTTGGTTAGCATCTGGCTAAATGAAAGCTGGTCGGTCCGCCATGTTGCTTTAATACATCAGAGGAAAAAGACTGGGGGGGGGGGGTAAAGTCTGGTTCCCTCCAGTTTAAACCTGTTTCTTTTTTCTATATATTGTTTCTCATCTCCCTCCAACAACATGGAATACTTAGTGCAAAATAACAGCGTCTGAAATACTGGTTAGAATGCAACAAAATAAGGGAATGTTAGTGGTTGAATACTTTTCCCAGGAATGTTAGTTTGATCATTGGAGAAAAATAAATTCCTAGTCTGCTTTCTGCAGAAATAAGCAGGAATCAATCTACAAAGGAAACAGGAAAATCTGCTCAGATGCATCAGAGGCTTTAATCTAAAGTTCCTCATTTAATCCCAGCCTAACAGAACCAGGTTCTACTGAGCTGCTCTTTCCCATCATGCATTGGTGCAGTGCTGTTTATCTCTGTGTTCAGCAACAAGCAGGCGGCGGAGGTTCCAGAGCAGGTGTTTGACGCCGCAGCGCATCAAGCTATAATCACCGCTGACTTCAGCAGGAACCAGCTGACCTCCTTCCCTTCCGGGTACGATCGGCGCTCCAGGTTCACCAGAACCCGATGGAAGGCGGCCGCTGACCGCACCGTGTTCTCTGTTCAGACTGCTGCAGTTCCAGTCCTCACTGTCTGACCTCAGCCTGGCCTTCAACAGACTGACCTGCTGCTCCCCCCACATCTGCTCCTTCACGCTGCTCGCACACCTGGATCTCAGGTACTGCCGTACATTCAGGGATGCCTGCTCACTAATCTGACCCACAGTCACTATAGTGACCCAGAGTCAGATTAGCATATTCACATATTCTGTCCTAAACTTAGATTTATTTCATCTTCATTTCACAGCTTTGACTTTTAGGGTCTGATCTATAAATGATTAAAAATCAGTATTTTATATCTAAATTAAATCTGATAAACTGAGATCATTAATCTGATCATCCAATCAGATTGGAAAAGCAGCTGATTGCATTCAGTCACTGGTTGTTCAGGATGAGCAGCTAGAGACGGGAGATTCCCTGGCATCAAGCATACAGCGACAGTAGAGAGGAAAGGTTGCTCCTGGTCTGGATGTGCTTCAGGATTCCTGTTTACTTTGATCTTATGTGTTTCAGGAACAACCAGCTGACTGACCTGCCGTGTGAAATGAAGACGCTGCCAAAGCTTCGCTCCGTCATCCTGAACTACAACAGGTATTGCTGAAGCAGCAGCAACAGTCTGCAGAACGCCTGCATGTCTGACTCCACAGGAAACACAGGAGCAGAAATACAACCTGAGGAAAGTATTCACGCCTCTGCAGAATGAAGCAAAACAGCTTCAGTTCATGGAGGTCTGTCCATTATAGAGCATCTTATCTAGAGTTCAGCCTTGTTTAGAGTAACGAGGCAGCGGCTCTCTGTCGTCTTTACCTCAATCATTCTTAGAATCTGGTAAAAGATTTCTATAAACTCGCTCTGACCGGACCAAG